ATAATAGATCATTATTTTAATATATAAACGTATTATACATAATTACTTATTTTAATTGTTTTTGTAAAGGAAGGAAAAAGTCAGCCAATATCATCAGAAGCTGCTGCAGTTGGTTTAGAGGCTGGACAAAATTTTGATGAAGAAATATATAATGCTATTATTAAGGTTCATAAAACATTATAATTAATATACAACTGTGAATTATATATATTATGATATTGATRATAATTTCAGATTAAGTATTTATTGTTATTGAATTTTATTTATAAAAATCATGTACTTTWAAAAAAAAACTTTCAAGAAAGTCTAAAACATTAATAGTTTTGTTAGGTTTTACAGTATTATTTGAATAAGAAATTGAATTTAGGATAAAAAATTTAAAACAATGATTTGAGGGTTGGAATTCTTTTGCCATAATTCAAATCACTGAAAAAAAATGTATAATAGGAGTGTGGATAAATTACTTGTTTTTTCTACTGAAAAATTAATTGCTATTGTGGAAAATGAGGTATTTTACTGGCTGATTTTCACTTGAAAGAATTTCCTTGCTCAAACATTTTTATGATAACTTAGTTAAAAATTTTAATTGATTGGATAAAAATAAATATGTTATTATGATTATTAATAAATAATGTTGTTATTAAAACATTTTTTTCAGGATTTCATAAGTAAATTACCTGGTGTAACTACTCAGAATATATTAAACTTATTGAATAAAGGACAGTCGCTTACACATATGCTGAAAATGCCATTACAAGAATTAAAAACAATTGTTGGTAACTCTCAGGATGCTGAGACTTTGTACAACGCACTTCATAAAAAAGTAAAATCAACCAATGAACAATCTATTGCTAAGCCTCAATCGAATAAAGGTTTTCGAGCAACAATGAATAAAAAACGATTTAGACATACCAATTCAAAATCAAAATAGTTTAAACAATCTGTTTTTTTATGCTTACAATGTTTATTTACCTACCTATTCCTATATAAAAAAATAAAATAAAAATATTATGTATCAACATTTAATAAATGTATTTTTAAAAAAACTGTATTAGATGTATATTTTTTTAATAACAATTTATTACTTGCTGAATAGTGCCATGTTTTGTAATAGTTGTTGAAATGACATATCTTGTGTATTTTAAATCAATCTTGTTACTGAATTTAATTTAATTGATGCATTTGATATTTTTTGTACTTAAGAAATGTTAGGTTGTAATTTTTAACATGGTTGGGCCAGTTTTATCTCATATACCTAATGCAAGAAAATACTGAATCACCATGTTTTATATTATAATTAATTTTGTTCTTATTTTATTTATRTTACTGAAACAGTAACGGTGTWTATAAATATATATTTMTAAGATAGTCCATAAAACGTTCAATTATTTTTTATAAGTTATTGATCCTACATTAGATAAGCGCAGCATTGTTAATTTAATTTCAAATATCTATTTCTACAGGCCTTATAACAAATGATTCGAACTTAATTYGAAAAAGAAATTTATGTAATTTATTTAAAGTAATTTTAAGYTAGAATGATTTATGTTCTGAACATTATATYGTGACTTGTAATAATATAATATTATGTGTAAAAATACATTTTTATGAGCGGAAGTGTGAGTGTAAATCTATTTAATAGCCAAATTCAATGTATTGCATCCAATCATTAAAACAACAAAAACAGGGAAATTYGTTTAGGTTATTTTATGGATATCAAAATAGACGKCACCGACTTATTCTTAATATTCTTTAYTAAAACTTTTACCTACATCATTAAAATTATCAATTATTTCATAAAAATAATTTTCCGAGATTTCATWATCCATTTTTCTTCATGATTGGGCAAAGTGTTTATTTTATATTACTATCCTTATTGATGAAAAAACTCCGATTTCCAATACGTTCCAATGAAATTGAAATAAAAACTGTGC